TCTTTCAATTGTGTCATCAGCTTACTTGCCATTGCAAATGACACTGCAGGGAACATCTTCCCAATGGAGGGGCAGGGCCACAGGCTGGGGAAGGAAACTGGGGTCCCAGCTTCTCTTCCCAGCTCCTTACTGAACAGAACTACCATTAGTTCATGGAAATTGTTTGGAGGTGGGGTAAGGCTTAAGGCAAAAGATTTGTGAGCCCCCCCCTCCCCCAGGGATCCTCAGAGGCCAGTTGGAGAATCTGAACCTGGAGTTCTAACTCTTTGATCTCTGATGTCCCTGTAAAACAGGGAATGTGGGGTGGGGGGAGTAAGGGGGGTGTTTCTGTGTAGATTTGCAGGGTAGAGATGTCACTGGAAGGGGACCGGCTGGGAGTGGGTCTCCTCAGGCCTGCTGGTAGTGTGTGGATCCTTGACTTTATGCAGGAAAGACTTCATAATATGAGTCCAGGTGATTTTGAGGGTACATTTATGAAAGCTGGGAACAGTGAAACAAGGAGTTGCTTAAGATATAAGAAGCAACAGGAGAGCCCAGCCGGGCGTGGCTCAGCGGTTGAGCATTATTGACCTAGGATCCAGGAGATCGGGGTTCGATTCCCGGTCAGGGCACATGCCCGGGTTGCGGGCTGCAGCCGATCAATGACTTTCTCATCATTGATGTTTCTGTCTCCCTCCCTCCCTCTCACTTCCTCTCTCTGAAATCAATAAAGATATATTTAAAAAAAAAAAAAGCAACAGGAGAGAGCCTAGGTGGTGGTGCCCTTCTTTGGCTCTCTAGAAACGTCACAGGAAAGAAGTGAGCCACAGTGGGGCTGGTGTCAGAGAAAAGGGGGCCTTGGAGACAGGTTCAGGGATAACCCTGGAATGAGCCGATGCTGCCCTTTGCTCCCTTGGTTGCAAGTCTCATGGGGACTTTTAGAGTTTAGGAGAAAAAAGTAAAGCTGCATACCTGAGAGGGAAGAAAGACATGAGTGTGCTCCAGAGAGAGATCTTTGCCTTTTTAAAAAAATTTTAAATATCTTTATTGATTTCAGAGAGAGGGAGATAGAAACATCAATGATGAGAGAGTTGTCATTGACCAGCTGCCTCCTGCACGCCCCCAACTGGAGATGGAGCCCGCAACCCGGGGATGTGCCCTAACCCGGAATCGAACCGCCGTCTCCTAGATCCTAGGCCCATGCTGAACCTCTGAGCCACACCCGGCTGGGCTAGATCTTTGTCTTGAGGGTTCTTATTTGTTTTCTAAAGGCGGGGATTTTAGGGAAGGTCTTAGGGGAGAATCTCAATAGAATGTTCATAAGCTTTATGCCGAGTGCCAAAATGAGATTTATTCCCCTGATTTAATCTGTCCTTGGGTGTGGTTGGCAAGGGGCACTAGTTGTTATCTGTTATCTGTTTCCCTGAGTGGGGTGATTTAAGCTATCTCTGGTTGGAGAGGAGAAGGGCAAACCATTTACCCTTAGTGTGCCTGCTTAAGGAAGATAAGATTTTGTGATTTACTAGATGGCAGTAAACTGCTTGTCCTTTTAATTATGTTTCAGTTTTCCTATTCCGCTTGTCCTGGCTCAGTGACCTTGTCTGGAGAGGGTGTGAGACAAACGGGTGCCTGTGGGGACCTCCTCCCAGGATTGTATTTGCACAATGGCGCCCTCTGCTGTCCCTGCTTTCCCAGCGGCTCAGGACCTTAGAGTTTGGAAGTTCTTCCCCCTGCCAGTCCTTACTCAGTGTTTCAGTTGTGGGGAAGGCATCACTTACTGATAATAAAATAGCATTCAGAGAATAGAAAAACAACTCTCTAGGTCCACTCCATACCTGATACCAAGAACTGTAGCTCATTTCCAGAGACGTTCCACTATGACTACCACATGCAACCTCTTTTAAGACCTGAACTACTGTCTCATAGATATCAGAGGGGAAATGGAGACAAGCAACTGAGAATGTGTCAGAAAATCCTCTCATGGCCCCACCATACCTACCTCTTCCAGGTGTGACCGTGGCTCCCCCATGCCCTGGGGAAGGATGGAGATGTCAGAGCTGCAGGAAGAAGCTGAGGTTTAGCAGGGCTGCGTAGATAGCTTGCTTCCTGCTTCTGTAGGTCCTGTGCGATGGCGAGATCAATCTGCCCTGCCTCTTCCCTTATTCTGGCAAACCAGGAGGTGGGGGGCAGTGGCTCTGCCATAGTAAGTAACCCCCGAAGTTAACCTGAAATGTAGTTAAAGCCTAATAAGGCCTGTATGGGATTGGGTGGGCGTCCTGGCTGTGGAAATCATGCAGTCTCCATTAGCACCAGCTCCTTGGTGAATGACGTGGAGAACAAGGGACAGGAAGGAGGATGTTGGAGTGAGCTGAACACCAGAAGTTGATCTGTGGGATTTAGTGACATTCCCATGCCTTCTCAGGCCCTCTGTCTTCCCATCTGCCTAATGGACTTGCTAATATCCACTTTGCCATTTGGGGTCACTGTGATGCCCAGGGTGACACTAGTTATTAATCTATTGCCATGGGGACCACAGTATGGGGCTCATGTGTTGGGGTGGGGTGGGGTTCGACCTTTTCATCTGGCAGTGGACCGTCCACTACTGCCCCACACAGGTGTGTTTCTTCAACAGGCTGAGCAGTACTGCCCATCTTCAGACACCCAGGGTGCACCAGCAGGCACCCTGGGTAAGGAGAGGGGACAGGCTTCAAGAGTCAAGCAACATGATTCCCTATGCACCCTTTTGCCTTCACTGGTACCTCATCTCTCTCCCAGTCTGAACTGAGGTTGGACTGATGCTAAGGAGGTACGACTGCGCCCTGAGCTGCCATGATGGTCACCTGTGGAGTTCTGGGGTGAGCCAGGACATGGTAGGTCCAGTGTGGGCTTGGTTCTTGGCACCAGTGTAGCCACCTGGCTGCTCCTTCTGGTGTCCCACCAGCCCCTCTTTTCTGGACTAGTTTCTGCCCCAGGGGCTTTACCTAACTTCTTCATGCTGCCCAACATCACTGCCATCACGATTATGATCAACTCACTGGGCATCCGTGTCATTTACTCCTTCAAAGGCAAGATTCTAGACTCCAAGTTGCAGAGCCCTTCCCTGGGGACACCTGATCTCCCCTGCCTGCCTGGATTGGGGGGGGGCAGTTGTGGGCATCTATGAAAATTGGGGGGGCATCCAGAGTGGAGAGAGAGGCATCTTTACTGCAAGGAATGTGTATGGGAGGAGTCCCAGGGATTGTTTCAACGCCCCCTTCAGGAAGCCTGCTAGTTTGGATGCAGGTGGGAAGAATTGAGTTCCTGGAAAGTGAGTGGGCCTTCCCCAGTTTTCCCACACAACTCATAGGACAAGTCTGGAGGGGGCAGTGGAGATGCTCCTAGTGAGTGAATGTCTAGAGCTTCCAGAATGGAGCACAGGAATCGAGGACTGCCCACTCCCCTGAGCCCTGTGGCCCCTGGACAGACACTGGCATTCCCTGGGCCTCTTCAGGAAAGGTCAGATCTCCGGGGCAGTTCCAGTTTAAACCTGCTGAGGCAGACAAGCATCTTTAAGGATTCATAGGCCAGTCTGGACGATGCTCGGGTTAGGAATGGCCGCTGCAGGCGAGGACTGCTCTGTCCTCTGGCGGCAGGGCCCAGGGCGCTTCAGCACCACGGGCTGGACAGCGCCCTGGCCGGGCGGGCGTTCCTCACCTGCCTCAGCCAGAACGGCTCAGGGTGGCAGGGGTTTCTGACCCGGCAAAGAAGGGTAGGCTTTTAGAGACAGCTGTGATTTGTGGTCCTGAGAGGGCGAGCGCACGTGGCGTGAAAATCCTTAAGAGTTTGGGATCCCCTCTGGGGCCGAGATGAGGTGCAGGGCTGTGTTAAAGTGAGACTTGGTCTCTATGTAACGCCCCATCTCCTGATTCTGGCCTCTCAAGACGGGTCGCAACCCGCCCAGGACCTCTTGCGCTGGGTCTGCCTAGCTTGGCGACCCTCATTCTGGGCCCCAGTCCCTTGGTGCAGAGGTCACTGGCAGGTCACTGGTTTCTGCCCTGCTCAGTCTCCTCACCGCCACCCCCAGGAAGGGCACAGATCTGCTTCTCCCTGTGGCCCCAACACCTGCTCAGTGCTGGGCACACAGTAAAAGCAGCTCCATAACTATTTGTCAGGGGATGAGCCTTGTCTTTCTTTTCTCAGCAAGGCAAGAATCGCCTGGGCTGGAAAGCAGGGCAGGAGGGCAGGTTCCTGCTCAAATCAAGGCTGATGGTGTTGAGAGGCATTTGTCACATGACCCAGCCTGCGGTGCAGACCTGCCTTTGGCCAGGGTAGACGTTAAACTTTAAGCCTTGAGAATAATCCTCTTTGGCTTAAATCTCTGCCCTCTAGACCCACTGGGGCAATGTGCTCTCCTCCATGGCTCTCTGGGCTAATACTGTGTCTTCCAGGACCACTAGGGTGGTAGTGTCATCCCCAGAGCTCAGAAGATAGTGGCTCTCTGCCTGTGCCCTGTGACACCTCTGGACTTGGCTGTGTGTGTGTGTGCATGGGAGGGTGGCACCCCTGAGGCATGGGTGGGGGCATCCTGATCCACCGAACCAGAGAGGCAGCCATACCCTTTGTAACTGTGTGTCCTGAGGGGACTTGTGCTCTGGGCCTGTGGTGGGAGTGGCATCCCTGAGGATCTCTGAATAGCTTTTGGGGTCATTCTTCCCCTATGTCTTGAAGAATAGTGCCTGGCTTCTCCTGAGATGGCAGATCCATACTAATCTGATTGAATGGTCACTTGGCCACACCACTAGTATTTTCATTTTTTGCAATATGGATAGGCTGAGAATCTTTAAGTCATGATTCCTTTTTGCTTAGAAGCCTTAATTTTTGCTTCTCTTTTAAGAATTCTGCCAGGGAGTGTGGGGCCATGGTCCCTGGAGAACTGCCCGTGGACAGCCAGTTGCATTTGGAGCCCTCGCTCGTGTCAGCCTTGTTTTGTCGAGGAGACGCTTCTGCCCATCGGTCGCCTGCTTCCTCACCGCGCTTTCGACTCTGCTTCTCCCCACTCGGTGATGTGGGTTCGAGGTGCGGCCCGGCGTCTGAACTTAGGCCTGCCTGCCAGGTGAGACAGCCTCGTCTTCCGCCCAAGGCCGGGCACAGCGCTGTCATCGCCACCCGGAGCGCCCTCTGGCGGCGATGCGCACCGGGCCGAGCGTCTCTGTCTTTGGAGGTAGCCCCAGGCTCCGGCCGCCTGGAATGTGCTGGACAGCGCCGGCCGGGCGGCGGACTCTGAAAACACTGCATGTTCGACACTGCACAGTCTGACCCCAAGGAGGCGCGAGACAGCAGCTAGGATGGGCATGGTGGGGGTCCAGGGAGAGCCAGGGTGCCGCCATGGGCGTCTGCATGAGTGTGGACGTCAGTGTGGACGTTGCTGGGGCTCGAGTCATACTTGTCATTCTTCAATGAGCTAACCCCCGCCCAGAGGAGTTGGACTGGTCTTCCGTGGCTTCTTGGTGTTCCTCAACCTCATCGCCATCACAGCTGGGCCACCTTCTATCCTAGACATTGGAGCAGGAGGGGTGAGGCTGTCCATGGAAGCTGAGGGTCTCCCAGAGTAGAAGGAGGGCTGTTTTTTTACTACCTAGAAAGTGCGTGGGAGAAATTCCAGGAATTTTTTTCTTCCTGGAGTCACCATCTCTGGACCCGAAGTTAGGGGAGTCAGTGTGGTTTGGATGTGGGTGGGGTGGGGCTGAGCCCCTGAAAATTGTGGAGACGCTCTGTGGCCTTAGCCTCCAAACACAACTCACAAGAAAAATCTGGAGAGGGCAGTGGTGATGCCCATAGTGGGCAAATTTCTACCAGTGCTAGACGGGGCACAGGATTCAAGTGTGGCCTGACAAGTCACTCACCTTCTCTGGCCTTCCCAGGTAAGCACGGACCTTCTGATTGAAACCAGCTGGGGGCACAACTGTTGAGAAATACAGGGAACACTGCCGATTTTTGCATCATTGGACTTTGCCCTGGAGTCTGGAGGTAAGGGCAGCTGCATGCTGGAGCAGGTAGGCAGCCAGAGGGGACCTGCCACTTCTGCACTGAAGACTGGACAGCATCCTTGGGACAGTCTGGCAAAGCCAAAGGAGGGATGAATAGTCACTCATGCCCAGCCCCAGCACAGCTCACAGAGGCTGATGGCAGAACCCCGGGGCTTGGGACCTGGGACCTATGTTCATGTGGTCTGAACTAGAAATCCAGGAGAATTACAGAAACTTTTTAGATGTCATTTAAATAACTTTGTAGCGCTTCAGATTACAAACCTTTTTGTACATGGTCCTCTCTGCCTCACAATAGCTAGGGAACCTTGGTCTGAACACCCACTCTAATAGATGACGATAACTAGGGTGAGGATAATGGATTAGGAGAGAGTAACTAATCTCTTCAAGTCACACAGCCAGGGAGGGGTTTGAGCTAAGACTTGAATGGCTGCCTTCGTTGTAGCAGATTCATTCTACAGATGATAGCAGTCACAGGGGGCCCTTGTATTGGGAATCTTAGGGCTGATGGGCCAACAAAAGGGGGAGGCACTTGAAGTGAGGGTAACATATGGCCCTAAGAGGGCACTGCTCATGTGGGGTGGGACCTCTGGTTAGGCTGGGCAATGCCCAGGGCTTCCAGAAGAAGGGGGGCTCCCAATAAAGTGTGACTTTATCTATTCCTAAAGCCTGCGGTGGCACTCAAGGGCCATCAGAGTCCACCCACCTGGACCCAGGAGGCTACGATCCCCACCTTTGGGCCAGAAGTCACCCTTCTCTTCCCTGGCTAATCTGTCCCACCCAGGGCTGGGACTAGGGTGAGGCGAGTGAGGAATCAAGGGTGCAAAAATTAAGGAGGCACACTCTCAGGGACATGCAAGTGCAGGCTAGTGTCAGTATGACCCTAAAACTGAATCTCTTTTCTCCAACTCTCCCTCCTTCCTTCACTCTGAGTCTCTTTTCTCCAACTCTCCCTCCTTCCTTCCCTCTAAGCCTTAAGCTCCCAGAGGCCAGAGAGAGCCTTTGATAATCCCGGGTGTCCCCAGCCCGGCATCTGGTCAGTGAAGCGCTCATAGTTGGATTCAATAAACGTTTGGCAGTGGCCAAGGCTCATCTTTCCTTCCTGTGAGAGAAATGGCCTACGCTGGGAAGGGCACTGTGTGTCACGTGATCTAACGGAGGTTTGGCCTGTGGCCGGACTCCTTGTTTACTGGAGGGAAGCAAACGACAAGTAGGGGAAGGACCCAATGCCTGTGCAAGATTCAGAAAGTTCAAGCCAGAAAATGAAGGAAATTTACATGTGGGCAACAGAACTGGAGAGTGACGATGACTTGCTCCAAGTCACACGGCCCCGTAGGGAGAGAGACAGGGCTACTTGACAAGTTCTTCGAAGATGTAACTCAATCCGGGAAAACCCCTGGTGCAGTTACTGGATGCTCATCGAGTATATCGACTTTCTGCTTATCAGGCCTGCAACAGTGAGCAGGATCCATCCATTGCTTTTGACTGCCGGTAAGTGCTGCGCGCTGATTGGTCCCCGCCAAGAGGCGGAGGAACGGGCGTGCGCTTGGGGCCCGCGGCCGGAGAGGCGCGCGCCGTGGGTGGGAGAAAGTCGCCTGAGAGGCCATGGCGTCGCTCAGTGGTAGCACCGTCGTCTGCGCGGTCTGCTTGGAGAAGCCCAAATACCGCTGCCCCACCTGCCGCGTGCCCTAGTAAGCGACGGAGGTC